CTGGGGGGCGGCCGAGGCTGAGGCTGCGGTTGCTGCCGGCGCTTTCCCGCGCTTTCCCGCGCTTCAGCTCGCGCTGCGGGGCACGGCCTCGCGGCCCTGGGGCGCCCCGTGCGCTTACCCAAGTGACGTCTGTGGTGTGAGCGCGGTGAAGGGGTGGGCTGCTGCTTCGACTTTCAGCTGGGGTAAAATTTTTGGTCTGCCTTAACGAGCATCTAGTAGTGATTGTGTCGGCTGAAACAGCTGCTGGTGAGCTCTTATAGATTCCCCGTGCAGATATGTTCGTTACACCTTACTTTCTATGTTTTAAAGTAGCACATCTTGAGGTCGTGGTCAGATTTATTCTGACTAGTCTCAATCATGGAACGGTTTGGGTTTGACCTTTTAAAGATCACCTAGTCCCAACCCCCCTGCCATGGGCAGGGACACCTGCCACCAGCCCTGGTTGCTCCAAGCCCCATCCAGCCTGGCCTTGAACACCTCCAGGGATGGGGCAGCCACAGCATCTCGGGGCAACCTGATCCAGTGCCTCACCACCCTCACAGTAAAGAATATTTTGCTTATATCCCATCTAAATCTGTGGCCTTGCTAAAGTCGGTTAAGTGTACTCAGAAGTTTACGAGGGGAATATAACACAAGTTTTCTGGTAGCACCCATCAAACGTATTAACTCCTCAAATGAACGCTGCCTGTACTGTTTTGTGTAGTTAGGGGGCTCCTACGAGCCCTTCCATGCCACTTGAATGCTTTTTTTCATGAGTGAAATAGTGTGCTTTTTGAAGTGTATCCATTTGTGTCCTAATCAACTAGCTATTGATACATATTTTAACAGATGAAGGTTGCATATTCAAAATCATTAGTATTCCCAGAAAACATGCTTTAGATTCCCCCGCCCCCCCCCATGTGACTTCAGAGTAATTTCAGGAGGTTTTAAAAGTGCAGAATGATGTGGATGTGACGAGTACATTTTGATTATATTTTCAGACTGTTTGGTGTTTTTTTTTTCACTGCAGCTCTTTGTTGTTCGGTAGACTTTATGAGTTTTATTCTTGAGGTGAAAAAAGATTTCTGAGCAAGTCTTTTAGTTACACCTGTTTTGTTTTTTTTTTTCTACTGTTCAGTATGACATTTTGATGTAGGTTGCAATAAAGCTTAAAAGGTTGGTATGAAAAACTAGTTTCTCAGTGCTCAGAGCTACACCTTATTGTGAAAATTGGACACAATTGATAGTAGTATAGTTTCCCATACCCTGATATGTTGAGTACAATATTACAAATACTCTGTCAGGATTGTTCTTCCCTCATGCAAAGTTGGAGTTTTTAGTTTGCAAGTTACGAATAATTTAAAGGGCCTTAACACATGCCTAGCAATTGTACCGCAGGCTTGTCTCTACTTTGAAAATAAGGTCTCCAGCTATTTTCTCGGTTGAGATGGAAAGAAAGCTGTGTCGCTTTCCCTAGGAGTGGGAGTGACAGCTGTATGGTAGTTACGTGTTTTGGGGCTTATGAACACATGTACCAAGGTGAATTCTGATGGGTAGATCTTAAAAATCACGAATGATACATCTAGATAGTCTTTATTAATAAACTGAAGCAGACTGTAAACCTTGATTGTACTTTTCTTCCCATATTACTCCACTTGATTTTGAAGGTACTTTGGAATAACTGCGTGTTTGAATATAAAGCAGTATGATAACCCTGGGAACCATTTGGTATGCTTTTCTGTGACAACAAAAAAATAAATTTAGAAATAATAGCTTTATTCTTGCTGCATTTTTTTTTAAAATTATAGTTTGAAGCAGAAATGCATTTTTTTCTTTTCCATATTTCTAGTGCCAATTATTAGCTATTAGAGTGAACACAATGAGTTTGTAGTTAATATATTACACCAAGTACTTCTGTGTTCATTCCAGCAGAAGGAGATTGTGGCAAACGTGGGACATGTGGCAGACATGCAAGCCAGAGATGGTAGAGATGGAGTCCAGGCTAGTTTCTTGTTTTGGAGTTTAGTATGAATGTCCATCAGCTGTGGAGTTCAAAAGCAAACTTCCGTGGCCCATTAATCTTGACTGTTGAATAGAGCTTATTCTTTGCGTTACCTTGCCTTAATTAATGGAAAGAACATAAATGAGTTTACTGTTCAGCGTGAAGTAAATCTTGGCTTTTTGAAGGTCTACGTTATAAATATATTATCTGTATTGATTTCTTTTTATCAGTAACAGTGAATTAGTGAGTTTCTTGTAAAGGTGAGCTGAGATATAGTTCAATTTAATATTCCTCCCTTGTACCCCTAAATATTGCTGATATATCTGATACAATAAAAATATTTTCAAATAAAAAATTCCAAGTTTCTGAAACAGAAGATGTGCTATGTTAAAGGCTGCTATTAGGCAGCAAGCCTTGGATATTGTCATACTTAAAAAAAATGATAGTACATGCATTTATCTCCCTTAGAATTATTTTGAAGAGAAAAGGAGTTTGTGATCCTTGTAGGAAAATAGATAATGTAGAGTAACAATCTATGCAAACACAACTTTTTGTATTCTCAAAACCCTGGCTGTGAATATTCTACAAAGTACTTTTTTTTTTTTTTTTTTTTTGTCTACAATATTCAATCTTAGAGGACTAGCAGCACAATTCTTTGATTAAAACTTATGTCAGATTACTGTTGGTGGTAATTGTTTACATGACATAGTAGTAACATTGTTTGGTAACTGTTCATGATTGTTAACAAACTATTCTTTTATTATGTTGCCACATAAACTAAAGCAGGTCTCTGTTACAGGTTTTTAATGTTTTTCTGACATGGAAAAGAGTAATCTTTGAAGCTTGTCAAGTAAAATTCGAAGATGATGTTTATTCTCCGGAGTTTATAGACTTAAAAAGCTGCATATTCGACATCATGAATTTGTCCTCTCCAGTCAGTTATGCTGTCAAAGAAGCTAAATGGTGAGCTCCATTTGTGTATTTTTAAGTCCAGTAATATGGTTCATTGTTTTGTTGTTTATTTTCTAGATCCCTGAAATTAGGTACTTTGGACTGAAGAAGAACCAGATATGGTGTCATACATGCAAGCTGTGCCATGTCAATATAGTCATTAGATGAAAAGATTTACTCGAAGGCATGCGTACTGGCCATCTGATGTGCAAGAATTCTTACATGACCGTAGGAGATGTGACTTAGAGATAGGGGGGGGTTCTGTTTGCAGTAAGAAACGGTGACCTGGAAATACAGAATGGTTTTCTGCAGTAGCTGAAATGTCAGAGGTTGGCTTTAAGTCTTGCACACGGCTCTTATTTTTTATAACCTGATATGTGTTTTATACTTTGGCACAATTAAAGTAAGATTTAATTCATTCTGTTTATCTTAGCTGTGAGAGCTATTTGTCGCAATTTAAAGTTTGATTTTACAAAACTGCCAATTATATAGGAACAGCAAAATCCCACGAATGTGAACTTTGGTCAGGAAATCAGACTGCAGACTACTCCTTCAGCTGGGGAAGTTCTGCAAAATTCCACTGCTAGGTAATAAATGAATTTCTCTCTGTTACAAAATTACTCAACATTTTCTGCCAGTTGTGGAAGAAAAGCTAGTGAAAAACAGTTTTTCTGCAATATTCTGTGTTCACTGTAACTAGCTGGCTTGTGAAGTGACTGTGAATTAAAAGTTTTTGAGTTACAAAAAGATATTCTGTAATGTGGAACTCAAAAGCTATTTCACCTGCTTATATGTTTATGGAAGAACCTTATAGTGCTGCTAAAAATGGTGTCTTAGATAAAAGCTGTATTTGGTAAAATGTGTATTTTAGTTCAAAACCAATGATTGATGAACTACTAATATATGAAAATGGAAGTACGAAACATTCAGTGAATTCTTGTTAGACTGCAAATCATACATGCTGTGAAACTTCCCAGGGGTTTTGTGTGGTTTTGTCTTTGATTTAAGCTTCCGAGAGCCTTATGCTTGTAGCACTTCTACTTGTAATATGAACGTGGAAGGAAGAATCTCCCACAGTAGGTATTATGAAGCTTTCATAAAGTATTGCATGTGCTGGGAATGCTGTGATGATTAAAGAAAATGTCACAGAAATAAGAATTCTTAAGGCCAATCTCAATTTTATTTGAAAATGTTTAAGTAGACAAATAAAATAATGAAGTGTTTAACATAGTAATATTCCCTCTGTGTTTGTTTTTTTTTAAAGTAACTGATTCAATTTGATTCTATACTAAGAAGAAAAATAGGGTTTTCTGCTTTATATCTTTAATTTTTCAGCCATGGCATTGTGAGTTTAGAAGCTGTGCAGAAAATTCTATTTTAAAAAGGTGTTTAATACTTCTTTTTCCCAGTAGTTACTGTTGTCCTGTTGTGTCTTAATGTTTTTATGCACATTTTTCATTTCTATAATGTCCCTAATTTGCTCTTACTTGAGATGTTTTGTAACTTGTTTCTGGTTGTTTTTTTTTTTTCCTCCCACTGGTCCTGTTAAGCAGAACAGTTAATCACATAGTTAAATTTTCCTCCGACTAAGTTTTATTGTGTAGATACCTCTACTGTACTCTTTTTTTCCTGGATAATTAGTAGAGGAGTTCGAAGGAACAGTTTTCACACTGATCTAGTTTACTTAAAGATTTAAAGGTGTTTTTTTATTTACTTCACAAAAAGTAGTCGTTCACTTGCTTGCATTCAGTGTGCTCTCCATGCAGGAAGTGTTAATTATCACCAGATTTAAAGAGGCAAAACGACCTCCTGGCTGCCCGCAAACTAACAAAGTGGCTACCCTTTCCATAAGGCTTATTTCTTTGCCCTAGTCTTCCCCAGTTTTCAATTTGAGTTCTGCTTTTCTCCCTAACATGTGCTTTGCTAGCTTTGGTGCTCTGTGGCCTTTAGCTATCTTTAGTTCAGATTTATGTGTCTTGCATCATGTCCGAGTAAGATGATTTGCTTTTCTTTCATCTCTCTTTCCCCAGCCATGGAAAAGGTCTCTCAAACCTATTATATGATGTCAACAAACAAGCTTTCATACTGTTTACAGATGCTCTAGCTGTTCAGATCCTTCTTATTTCCTGTTTTCCATATCTTCTTATTGCAGTAGCGAAGAGTTGCGTGAAATAACAATATGTGATTTTACGTGCCTTGGTGCTGATATTTTACCCTTTGAGTCATGTTGGTTCCTTTGGGTATCGCTCCCATAGTAAACACTGAAAGCTAATAATGTGCCTGTGGTTTTCTTGCATTACATGCAGGTTTTAATGATCCTTATCTCCTACATTTATTAAGTATATAAAATGTGTTAAGTACATTGCACCCTGTGGAACAATTACCGATGGCATACAATTAGTCTGATCTCATGGATGAAGTCCGTCTTGTAGTTAAATGGAAATAGACTTAGTATTTAATAAATTATAAAATATTTATAGACGATAGCTAAAAAACTGAAATTTCATCCTTTGTTTTTACTAATGCCTTTAAACACAGCACTTAATCTAAATTACTGTTCCCCTTGTTGATGACATTTGTGTCTTTTTTGCTAGTCAACGTAAGTGGGAAAACATGTATCATCAGGTAGAGTTCTAAGTCATGGAAAACGTTAGTGGTGCCTGTACACGAACCGAGGGGTAAAGTGATTTTGTTTATTTAGAAAAAAAAAAAAGTTTATCAGCTGGTTGCCAGGACTGAAACCTGGTGGAATGAATCCCATGACTAGAGCGTGGCTACCAATGACTACAGGCTGTTCAGATGGGTGAGCAAGGAGGGGCAGAGGGGTTGCCCTCTACATCAAGAAATGAATAGAATATGAAGAGCTGTCTCTGAAGAATAGCCATGAGCAGTCTGAAAGACTATGGATAAGAATTAGAGACTGAGGCAATAAAGAAAACCTTATGGTTGGTGAATACTAGAGGCCTGCCCGATCAAGAGAGCCTATTGACAAAGCCTTCTTGCTCCAGCTAGAGGAGGCATTGCATTCACAGGCTCTTGTCCTCATGGGGGACTCCAGCCACCCCAGCATCTGCTGGAAAGTAGCACAGTGAGCTGTAGGCAATCCAGGAGGCTTCTGGAATGCACTGAGGATAACTTCTTAAGCCAGATAATAGACGGCCCTACCAGAGGGGATGAGATACTGGACCTGTTGGTCACCAACGCAAGTGTGCTCGTAGGTGATGTCAAGATTGGATGAGCTCTTGACTCCCCAGGTGCATGAAATGAGGAGAGGAAGGCAAGAGACCAGCATGGCTGAGTCAGGACCTGCTGGTGAAAGTAAAGGGCAAGAAGGAAACGCATGGGCAGTGGGAGCAGGGTCAGTATCCCAGGAGGACTATAGGGCCACTGCCCAGTTGTGTAGGGATGGGGTCAGGAAGGTCAAGGCGTAGCTGGAGCTGAATTTGACAAGGGATGCAAAGAATAACAAGAAGGGCCTCTCCCGGTATGACAGCCAGGAAAGAAGGTCAAAGAAAGTGTATCGCCCCCGTGAACACAGTTGGCAAACTGGTAACAAAGGACGAGGAGAAGGCTGAGGTACTCAACAACTTTTTTGCCTCAGTCTTCACTGTCAACCTCTCTTCCTACAGCTCTTGCGCGGATGGACCCCAAGGCAGGGACTGAGTGGGCAAAGTCCCTCCCACTGTAAGAGGAGATCAGGTTTGAGACCACCTGAGGAACCTGAACATACAGAAGCCTATGGGACCTGATGAGATGTATTGCAGAATCCGGAGGGAACTGGCTGAAGCAGTTGCCAAGCCAGTCTCCGTGATATTTGTAAAGTCATGGCAGCCAGGTGAAGTCCCTGATGTCTGGAAAAAGGGAAACATTGCACCCATTTTTAAAAAGGGTAGAAAGGAGGACCCTGGGGACTACCGACCCATCAGCTCTCACCTCTGTGCCTGGGAAGATCATGGAACAGATCCTCCTAGAAGCTATGCTAAGGCCCGTGGAGGGCAGGGAGGTGATTTGAGACAGCCAACGTGGCGTCACCAAGGGCAAGTCCTGCCTGATGAACCTAGTGGCCTTCTATGATGGAGCAACTACATCAGTGGACAAGGGAAGAGCAATGGATTTTGTCTACTTGGACTCCTGTGAGGCTTTTAACACGGTCCCCCACACCATCCTTCTGTCTAAATTGCAGAATACGGATTGGATGGGTGGGTAGCCTGTTTGGCGGATGAGGAATTGTCTGGATGGTCGCATGTAGAGGGGTCATGGTCAACGGGTCAATGTCCGGATGGAGATCAGTGACAAATGGTGTCCCTCCCAGGTCCATACAGGGACCAATACTGTTCAATCTCTTCAGCAATGACATAGGCAGTGGGATCGAGTGCATCCTCAGCAGCTTTGTAGCCGACACCAAGCTGAGTGGTGCGGTTGACACAGCTGAGGGACAGGATGCCATCCAGAGGGACGTGGTCCAGCTTGAGAATTGGGACCCATGTGAACCTTATGAGGTTCCACAAGACCAAGTGCAGGGTCCTGCAGCTGGGTTGGGGCAAGTGCTGGTATCGCTACAGGGTGGTGGATGAAGGGATAGAGAGCAACCCTGCCAAGAAGGACTTGGGGGTTACCGGTGGATGAAAAGCTGGACATGAGCCGAGAACGTGCGCTCGCAGCCCAGAAAGCCAACATTGTCCTGGGCTGCATCAAAAGAAGCGTGGCCAGCAGGTCGATGGAGGTGATCCTTCCTTACTACTCAGCTCTGGAGAGACCCCATGTGTCGTAGCGTGTCCAGCTCTGGAATCCTCAACATAAGAAGGTCATGGACCTGTTGGAGTGAGTCCAGAGGAGGGCCGCAAAAATGATCAGAGGGCTGGAGCTCCTGTCCTGTGAGGACAGGCTGAGATAGAGAGATTTGGTGTTTTTCAGCCTGGAGAAGAGAAGGCTCTGGGGAGAGCTTATTGTGTCCTTTCAGTTGTTAAAGGGGGCTTATAAGAAAGATGGGGACAGACTTTTTGGCAGGGAATGTTGTGATGGGACAAGGGATAATGTTTTTAATTTAGAAGAGTGAAGATTTTGTCTAGCTATGTGGAAGAAATTTTTCCGAAGAGGGTGGTGAAACAGTGGCCCAGGTTGCTTGGGGAGGTGGTAGATGCCCCATGCCTGGAAACATTACTGGACAGGGCTCTGAGTAACCTGATCTAGTTGAAGATGTCCCTGCTCATTGCAGAGGGTTTAGACTAGATGACTGTTAAATGTCACTTACAACTCAAACTATTCTATGATTCTATGATTCTTAGTCCAAGCAGACTTTCATTTCTGTCATTAATACTTAAAACTTCATGTAGACAAAGATAAGCTATTTTAGTATTTTCAGTTCTGTGTGAAATGAAGCCAACTTTGTGGTTAATTTAATCATGTTTCTTCTTACGGTATATTTCATATTTAGTGGTCCTGACAACTTGTGCTTTTGTGTGGAGCAACTAATTATGGCAGCCATTCTTACATATGTAAAATAATGTGAAAACTGACATACATAAAATAATGTGAAAACTGATTTTTAACTCCTGAAATAATTTAAAAGTTTTCAGTTTGACATTACTATAATTGCACATAAGATTATTAAATTGTTTTGTTTCAATTGAATAGGTGTTTTTATACTAATTTTTCACTCTACATATAATAGCTTGATTTGGTATTTTAATATTGCTTGTGGTGTTTAAGAGCTGAGCCCTTAAACTGCTGAGTAAGTTTTCTTTCAACTGAAGTAGTAGTGGCAATGAAGATATTGGATATTTTAGAAAGCTAGAACTTTAATTGTGTATTGTTTGTGATTGATTGCTTGGGTATAGTTTAAATGTATATATCTTTGATGAAAAAATGTGGAAAAGTGATTTTTGTTTCGTGTATGGGCATTTGTTTTATGATAGAGGTGGTTTTGGGATGGTAATCCGTGTTAACAAAAGGAGCCTTACTACAGGAGACAAACGAAAACTTGCCAGTCATTTTAATTTAAGTGATTGGAAGTTTTTTAAGCATCCTAAAAGTTTATTGAATGAATTGTAAAAAAGAAGAATAGTAAAAAACATGTTATGCTTAAATCAGCTTTGAGAAATCCCAAGTGGATATCTGTTTTAAGTTCCTGCTGCTACATCTCTCATATCTTGCACAATAAGCAATTCTATATAACCCCTTTTTTTCAAAGAGCAATAGTATGATAACAACTGTGTAGCATAATTTTACTTTAATGAATGTTTTGAACTTTGGGCTCATAATCTGATCACTGAAATAAGGGAGTGTTACAACTTAAAGGGAATACTCATGTATTTTGAAAACATTCATATTTTTCAGCTTACATAATGCCAAGTGTGAGTCACAGTTACTACGAAATAGCAATGAATCAGAGTTGGACACTGCTGAAGATCTGAGAAGGAAACTCTGTCAAGCTAAAAAAGAAAAATTAGACTTAACCATTAAACACAATCAAGAAGTAAGGACTTTTTTGTTTGTTTTAGTTTACTTTTGGAGTAGGAGGAATCTTGTTTCATTAAAATAATACTTTTCCGTGGTGTATCAAAAGCGTGGTCATTGACTGATAAATAACAGGGAAGGTGGCACTGTACAGACTTACCATACCTGTTCATAGGAACTCTTAGCACCTCTGCTGGCACTGTTAGTAGTTGAAGTTGCACCAAGGAGAGTGGGTATTTTCTGCAGGGAAAGGAGTCACTGCCACTAGCAGTAGTGTGTTAGATAAAATTTCCTGGTGACACAAATAAATAAAAGCCACAGCTTGAATCTAGCCTCATAAAAAGATCTTATTTAGTTCTTATTTATATTTTTTTGCAAGGTATTAGAGTATTGTTTTTATTCTGCAGAAATTTGCAACTCATAGTACGGTATTCTTGTGTGTGTATACACCAGATCCAGCTGGGATTTCCTTTAGCTGTCTTGCAATGTGCAAATTTGCAGTTTTCAACAACTGTAACAATGTATAATGTACAAATGTGGTGATGTGTTCATCAATAATTTCATACTTGTTAATGAGAACTTCATTCACAAGCAGATAATCTACCTCCATTACAAAGGTTTTCCCTGATGCTGTTGTAGCAAGCTAGTATTGAAATATATAGTAGAAAGAAAGTAATTAATCTTTGCTTTAGTGTGAATATCAGCTTTCGCACTAGTATACATAAGAAAAGGTGGGCCCTGAGTACAACAGTAGTTGTAATCAGCTTTGGATTTGTTGCTATTAGGAACGCTTCCCACACTTGCTATCTGGGAGCTGATATCCTGGTTTAAACTGTGCTGATGCAGAAGTATTATTACTACTATAGGTAACAATTCTGCTCTTAGCAGTTTGCTAGGGGCAGTTTATGTGGGTGCTCATTCATCTGTTCTGGCTTAAATCTAGCCAATAAACCAAGTTTGCTGTTCCATATCCATTTATTATGGGGATGTGTACACAAATTAAAGAGATTCTTGCTTCTTCCACGGTGACTTGCTCTTGTGCTGCACTTAATTCGTTATTTTCCTGTTGCCCCATCAACTGTGAGGCGATTCTATGAAATGGATCCCTGGAATTACCTGGATTTAAAAAAAAAAACTGAACAAACCACCTTTTACATTGAGAATTTGAAAGCTAGGGGTGTACAAGGATCTTTTGTACCATTTTGCTGTTGTGGTTTGCATCACAAAGTCAGGTTGCATTTTAAGTAGATAAACTACTTGAGAGACTGGGTTTTTTTATCCTATCCATTTATTGTACAGTTACAGATAATGGAAGAGCTGAAGTCACCTACATGCGATATTATTGAAGTCAAGAGGCTACATTGTAGATGTTCTGAAGAAATACGTATTTTACTTTCCACCTCTTGTAATGAAGTATCTTGAACTTGATTTTCTGGACCCAGTTTTTGGCAGCAATGACTAGACTATGTTTCTTCATCTGGATGAGATCGCTTTTTGAAGCATTCTCCATTCTTAATTTGTTGTCTGTTAAATTTAATAGCATTCTGTTTGACTACTGAACATTATTGGACTGAATTTTATGTTCATACATATACTTGTGAGTTGTTAGATATTTGATAGTCTAGCATTGCAACATGACTGTTTTTCTAAGTGTTAAATTTAAGGAAAGTTACCAGAAAATTGCCTGTGGCATATAATGTTTCTGTTGCTGCAGTTTGTCCTTTGAGGTTTAGGAAGATGACAGAATTATGACTTTTATTTTCTTAAGATAGTGTATTTTTGGAAAAATGGAGGGATATGTTTAAGGTACATGAAATTCATCTAGGAAGAGGAGCAGTTTGCATAAAAAAACAGTAAAAGTACTTAAAATCTGCATAAATGTGCATTTGCAAGACTATACAAATTCAAGTGGAGTAAGAAGGCAGCTGTAAATGCAATTCAAAATGTCTTAAAAATATTCTGTAACGTTTTTTCAAAGGAGCATTGTTGCTAGTTTTCTGAACCAAATTTATTTTCTAGCTGTCCAGCTATGAAAGCCAGATAGTCAGATTACGGTCAGAAATTGAGAAAGGAGAGGCTGTTCGACAAAGTCTGGAGTATGAATTGGCAATTGCCAGAAAAGATGCTCGTCTGAAAATGTATGCTGCAGAAGAGGAGTTAAGTGATGCAAAGAACAAACTTGTGGAACTGCAAGGTAAGTTTCAAAAAATTAAACATGGAACAAAGGCTAAGGCAGTTCCAAGTCAGGAAGACAAGTGACCAGCAGTGACTTAATTAAATTCTCTAATTATAGGTTGGGGTTTTTTTCATGGATCTCCCCTATCTTTCCCATCTCGTATCCATTTGCTTTTGTAAACTCATAAGGATTAACAAAACTCTTGCTGTCTCATGTTTGAATTAAAACCAACCTGCTAAGTCTATCAACTGTAATTCCTTTTGCCCCTCACCTTCTGTTGTTCCCTCTTTCACTGCTGTCCTTGTACAGCATTGTAATTGTGGTGGCTGTCTCCACATCCTGGTTACCACTATATACAGCAGTTCTTCCTTTTCCATTTCATTGAGAAAAAAAGAAAAGAAAGAGTCGATTCTTGTTCATTTATTTGCACTATTTCCAACAACTTTTTTCCAGAAGTTTTCATCATACTGTTTCTTTCTTTCATCTTTTCAAAGGTTTCAACCTTTTCAGCGTTCATGTCCTGTTTCTTTTCTTCTCGTCTTCTAGTCATCCTTGTTTCTCTTTTTATAGGTAATGGAACATGTATGTTGTGACAGTAGTATGTGGAAGGGGAGGTTTTTACCTATTTTAATTTATAAAAATCTCTAAAGCATTCCTATGTCCTTGTGTGGAAGTTGCTATATGAACACAAAATTAGATTCTTTCTCTGTAGTAAAGGTGGTACTCTTCAGTGTTGGAAGTGTTAATGTTCCAGTGTTCCACAGGGTATCCCAATACACACAATCATTATACATTTTGTTCTGAACGTGATTTACAGTGCTAGTTGTCTTCTTTCTTTCTGTTTTTCTGTAAACAATAGTATTGAATGAAAAACTTCAGCAGAAAGCGGCAGAGACTGAGAAAACATTTCATATTGCTCAGCAGAAGTGGAAAGAACAACAGCAAAGACTTGCAAGTGAGAAGGATGATATCCGCAGAACTTGCAACAGTGAATATGAGTTGCTTCTTAAGGAAAGAACCAAACTGGAAAGTGTTTTGCAGGTATGATGTATTAATAGTTGGGAAGTTGCATGAGATCATGGCTGGAACTTTTTTGGTGCAAAGTCTGTGGTGAGTTTGGGTTTTTCTGGTTTAGGGAAAAAAATCCCCCAAATAGCTAAATACTGCAGCATATGTCTGAAGAATATAGCTTTGTAAAGTTACACGTACTGCCTCACGGTCTTTCTTACTTTAATGGAATGTTTTGTGGCTGATTGTCATGGTAAATGCCTAAACCAAGTTCCCGTTGCACAGTGGTAATGAGGCCCATTTGCACTGTCATGCAAAGCTGAGTTAATAAAATCAGGGACACCCAACACCGAGCTTCTGACTCCATTTCCCTCTTACCTCCCCCACTTTGACATCTAATGGCCTGTGAACATGAAAATCGTGTTCACCCTTAATTACATGTATTCCAGAAGTACTGTGTACTGACTCTTCAGCTGTTTGCTTGAACGCAAGATCTGGGAAGACAGGCACAATGATAAGACCTGCAGTAGAAATCAGGTAGTGTGTGGGTACGTAGTGGTTTTGTGCATGGGCTGCAAAAGGAGTTGCGCTTTGTTTTTATCTTAATGACCAGGAGCCCGGATGGTGGAGAAGGGTCCCACTGACTGGATTTTCTCTGAATGAAGGACAAAAAGAAAATTCCCTCCTCTCCCTAGTAATTTTGTGGATATGTTAAACAGTGCTTTGCAGGAATAATTAAACAAACAAACAAAATCAAACAACAAAAAAGGCAAGGAAAGAGAGGGTTTCAGAAAAAAACGTGAGTTGATTGACAGGTGACACCACTGAGGTCCTTCTCAAACCAACAGAATCATGATTCAGTTGTCATTCAAAGTTGATGCTTAAAAAAAGTAGGATTAGGAATAGGCTATGAAGAAATCTATTTTTCGATACAGTTTTCTTTTTTAAGTTGCCAGGTAAAGCAGGCTAAGCGTGGAGCTTTGGCTCTGAATTCTGGCTAACAGTAGGCTGAGTTAGGTTGAGAATACTTTGGAATGGACTTGTCTTCTGTTCTATACCCCCATTCAGTGGGTTTAATACTATCTAAAAAGCAATGATGGAGAGTTATACTTTCTCAAGTGATGCTTGATCTCAGATCAAAAGGAGCCATGGATTGCTTGGGACATTGTGTTCTCTGGCAATGGATGTATATTTGGAAGTAGAGGTGATCTGCAGAGGCAGGTGTTTAGTTGGTAAATGTACTAAAGCTATAAAACTGTTCACTCCTAAGGTAAACGTAGTTTACTACTAGGTGTCAAGTCCTAACCTGCTTTTAATAGCAAAAACGTTCTATTTTGTCACTTCGCTTTTGTAGTTGTTTCTCTGCCCATCGCTCTAGTTATAGGTTTTACGTACAGTTATGAAATTCCAGCAAATTAAAAATACGTACATGAATGTTAAATATGGACTTTTCCAGCAAATAAAAAATACATAAATAAATGTTAAATATGGACTCGACTGCCCTAGTTGTTGCTTGAAAGCTTAATTGATTTAAACTTGGCAGATAAATGTCAGAAGGATCTGGGTTTATAAATTATGACTTCAAATGTGTTCCAGTCTTTTGCATTGTATATTTTCAGGCCTGTTTTAAATACTTTTATAATTATTCTGAGTTAAGAAATGAAAGCTAGATAAAGTGGATTTAATTTTGGTCTTAATATGTATATAGAAATGAGATTCTAAGCATGTATCTAAGTCCTGGTTGGAAAAGCTGCACTTCGTGAACTGTAATTCTCAACTTGGCTATGAAAATGCTGAGTTAGGCATGGAAGTGAAGTCAGCTTAACCTCCTGAAATGCGTCTCTAAGATATGGAAGGAAAGTAATCTCTGCTTTCTAACAGGCTTGTCGTGTGCTCCATTGGGTGTGCTTAGCACGCCATCCACTTCTTAAAAGATGTTGGAGTTCAATAGTAAGTGCAATAGCATCACCTTGTGGTTAGTCAGCGGATAATACTCTTCACAGAAGGACTCAGTTTTTCCTTAAACTACTTGTGAAATCGTGTTGTTTATACACACTTTAAAAAAAAAATTAGCTGTGTTTTTCAAGCAGATACATAAAGCAAGTGTGTATGTGACATCCAGGTATACATGTTTGAGTGTTGTTTTGTGGTGGTTTTTTGTTTCAATTTGAACCTTCTAAGGTGACTGCTGGGATAGACTTGCACAGTTTCATACCAAGTTTGAGAAGTTTGGAGACTTCTTTAAGATTCTGAAATCCTGCAACTCATGGTGTCTTGTATAATAAGCTTGATGTATTTGTGTAAATTTTAGTCTGATGAACATTAACTGTATTTCCAGCATAAAATATTTTTAAGTCTTGATGCAGTGTTTTCCAGCAAACTATGTAGTACTTATTTCACGCGTACTTTTCCCAGCACACTTTTGTTAATACCTCTTCAGGTATATCTTCCAGATAAATGTCTGTAGCTTTCCAGTATAGAGAGAGTGGGAGTAGTAGATTTCTATAAAAATGGTTAAAAATTTTTTTTAGCACACTGACAGGAAGAAGCCTGTGCATTGGCTTGAAATTACAGGCGGAGTTAGAGGATTGCCTTAATCTTAGTCCATATGCAGGTATACTATTTTTGCAATATTTTCATTTACTGAGGTTCCCATTTTTTTCTTCATGTGTTTCACATGGTATTCCTTATCTTTTCAGAGCATGCCAAAAAAATCATGCCATAGTGCCTGCGCATGAAAGAAGAGAGGAAATAAGCTTAATTTTTTCAGTTACTAATTGATAACAGTTAGCACTGTAGAAGAGTCATGATTCCCTTATTATCATGTTTGAGTGGCCAAAGCTTTCTACCTTCAATCTGGAGGAACTTCTAGAAATCGTTTTCTAAACTTTGGAAAAGACTCATATTTCTTGATCTTCATGTATAAACATGGTTCTGTCAGATTTCAATCTTCCGAAGAATCATTCTAAATGAATAATTCATTTTCTCCTACTCCTCCTCTTCCTCCCCGCTCTGCAGATGCCATGTGATTAGTATTTTCTAGGAACAAGATTATGTAATGTAAGAGTAATAGCAGAATTTGCAGACCACCTGGTTCATGTCCACAAAATGTCTCTTCCTGTGATATTGAATAGGAGTAAATGAACAGGAGGACTTACTGTAATCTTTCTGTGTTTTGCACAGAAAGTAATTTTAACAAATTTGGTCTCCAAAGGTCCTCCAACTAAATCACTGGATTTATAGATTGTTTCTGATGCTAGTTATGGAAAATCTTATTCCTGTCCACTAGACCAAAGCTATTCTTTTTGAAACTTCTGGGATCTCCAGCTTAAGTATGAGCTAGACTACTGGGGGTTCATTATTTGGCTACTTTCCCCGAGCCTGGTGTGGTGTGAATGTGGATTTTGTAGCAGTGACTCCACAGAGCCGCTGAGTCCAGCGGTGTTAGTAATTATCCCACCTTGTAGCTTGGTTCAACTTCTGAATGCAGAAATTGAAGTGGGGAACAGCCTGGTTATTTTATTCTGATGAGAACTTCATAGTTCATGTAGATAATTTTTTTTAAGTAATTCAGTTTCTAGACAGAAGAAAGTCTTTCTCAGAATAGCAGAAATAACGATATAGTCTGTGGGAGTAACTATTTCTAAAAATGTCTGATTTGATTTAAAGTTCTAACAATTAAAACCACAACAAAATAAAACTTCTGCTCCTATGTGTCATTTCATAAAATGCACTTAACTGTTTCCCTCTCTATCATTGCCATTGAGCTGGGAGAGAGAAGAGATTGGAAGAGCAGCCGTGTTTTAGAGACTCAAATTTCCTGGGGGGAATTGGCTCTGATTTTAGTATTACTGCAGAAGATCATGTTCATAGTGGTTTTTGAACCAACACCTTTTACCTCGTGGTGGCTAGTGAACATGTCTGCTGTTGGGTAAATGGTTCTGTTGACATGTGCTAACGTGTTAGATTTTAATAACCTGTTCTAAGGGAATCTCCATTCACAAAGTATTCCTCTTTTGAACTCTTTACTCTAATACTTTATCTTAATAAAAGTGTATCTTAATGCTTTGTTTTTTCTAGGAGCAGAATAATGCACTGCAAAATATACGCAAGAAAATGAAAGATGTGGAGGTGGAACACAATGGCTGTACTGAGCTGTTGAGGCGCCAGGCCAATGAGCTTGCATACAGCGCTGAACGAGAGGAGCGACTTAAAAAAGAACTTGAAGTACGGCTTTTTGTCTATTGCTATTAGTCTCAACAAGCACTGGTGCTCTGAGCAATTTCATTTTTGAGGGATGGAACTTCCCAGTTAGGCTGTGAATTCTACGTACTGGATTAACAAAATGTTAAACATCTGTTTCACAGAAAAGGCTGAACCAGCGAATGCCACTGAAACTGTATGCCTAACTTGAGACTGTTGTTTGAACAGCAGATAGGGCAAGATTTATGTAAGCGTGAAAACAAGGCTAACTTTACTTTAGGAAATGTGTACATTTTCCCTAACCTTTTAATTTGTCTATCTTCTCATCTTTTTGGCTTAAGAGCAGATTTTGAGAATTAGTGAATTTGCGATGGAGAATCTACTGGAGCTGGGAAAGTCACCAGATGTTGTGCTAGGTAGAGAGAATAACATCGTGGAAGATCACAGTGGTGTTATGGCAGCCCCTTGCTATCTAGACCTAAATGCTACAGGTAGTTTTAGTTTCCCCGTTGAGTGACTCAAGTGTCTGTTGAGCAACACCTGTTGCTGAGAAGTCTCAAGTCTTTAAGACTAGTATCTTGTAAATGTGCTTCTCTTACTAAACTGCTAGTTCTCTCCTAAGTTTAAAGATTTTGTTTGTCCACTGATAGGCTTTGTAGTAACTATGTTACCTGCATGTGCAGTCTGGACCAAGACTTACTTGGTAGAACGTTGGTTGCTGCAGAAAAGTACTGTGGCTGGATGATTCTTTATCCTGATGTAAGTTTTCTACCAAAGGCATCTTTAAATATTTTCTGCAATGAATTATAAAGAATTGGCACTTGCAGGGTATTGGGAGCCCTTAAAGCAATAAGTGGCATACAGTTTTCAGCTGTGTGTGTTCTCTGTTGTTTTTCCCTTAAAGACAAAAGAGGTGTTTAAAGCATTGATTGCTAGGTAGGTAGAGCCCTACATTAAAGATGAAGTACAAAAGAAGATTCCTACAGGGAAGATCAAAGCTCATCAACTAAAAACACTGACTTATTGACCAACAAGGTAGACTTTTGTGCTTTTGTGTGTCAGGTATTGTGAGCTGCACATATTGGTCTATGCAAATTACCTTCAGTTGGAAAGTGCTGTGTACTGTGAAGTTCCAATAGCCCTTTTAAAACCAAGTATTTTTGCTTGAACAGGGGCTTTTTTTTGTGACTTCATGGCTTTTAAGAATTAACATAGGAATCATGGGATGAAAGGAGGAGGAGCAAGGCAGCAAATTATTTATCTTTCTAAATGTTTTGATTGGGTGTACTTGCCATCTGTAAATTTGAAATGGAAGCACTCAGTTTGTTGAAAATGTGTAACTGCTATGCCCTGGAGTTGGTTTTATCAGGGAATGGTATTTATTAACCACAGTCAGCTAAGATATTTTCATTGCTGCTTGATTTTTATTAAATTGTTTTAACTTCCTGAATCTCTTAATAATGTTGTGAGAACACAACGTATTCAGATGACAGAAAAATCAATCTTGTGGTACTTGTATGTGTAGCTATTTAAGCAGTGGAAAGTATGTGATGAAATCTCTTGCATTCAAAAGTTTAAGCAAATTAGCACAAGTCCCTGTGAATTTAAAAAAAAAAGGTGAAGTTAGACTGTAGTGCATATGCTTTAGTCAGCTTGCATCTCGTTTGACCATCTCAAAAGCAAATTGCACGTGTGTGTCTGAAAGAGCCTACAGTAATAACTTACTCATTCTATACTTGAAGTCAGAGACATTAAACAACAAGCATCTCTGAAAATATCTTCAAGAAGCAAAAGCACTAGATATTTTAAGCTTTCAATATTGATTACTGTAGGCAGTATTGGTTAGTGTAGACTTCATACTGGTTAGTGGACTCAGAGTCCAGAGTTTGTGACAACAGCATCATCTGCATCTTATCAGGGACCAGTACTCTGCATCACTGTTTGTGGAACAGAATTTGTTCTGCCTTTTCTATGGTCCTGAAAGGCTGCAGGGGTTCTGAAATTCAAAATTCAGGTTAATAAAATGTATTTTAAGTTGTTCTCTCACCCAAAAATTATGTACTGAGGGACAGTTTAGTATTAACAGAGTTTGAAATCTAATTGCAGTTTTTCTTTGATTTATAAATTTGTCATTCCTCTTCCTCTCTTACCTTCTGGAACTCAATCAGGCAGAGATATTATCTGTCCTTCATGCTGAAACAGAGTGAAAGGACCTCAGCCAAAGGGACCAGATAAGCTGCTGTTCACCTCTGTAGCTCAGTTATTGGAACTTTGGTCTTGGAGGCTGTGAGGGAAGGAAATGGGGGAGTGTTCAAGGAACGACTTGTTGCTCAAAAGAGGGGAAATGAGCACAGTAGTCCCTTCTAATTGTGTTTGAAAGAAAGGACTGTTCACCTTTAAAAGGGCATGCTGCATTCCCAAGTAGAAATAAGTACTTCTGTGAAGCCTGGAGATTTTTGAGATTTAAACACATTGCTGTCAGTAGAATTTCCTCCTCTCTCCTTTAACGGCTGCCTCACTAGCATGCTAGCTTCTGTAAATCACATTATTAGTTGCCATATTCTTCCCATACATTGTGGAAGAGGCATTAAAGAAGGATGCTAAAGCCTAGGCAGTAGTTTTCATTTAATCTGCAGATGTGCCAAAGTATTCTGGTGTTTCTGCCCATCTGGTATTACTCTCACATGGTTCTGTGGTCTTCAAGCTGTCAATTTAAAGCTCCTTTAATTTAAATGGGAATAAGTATTACCCATGTTAGAAATATGGATAAATTTCTGATAACCAGTCCTGTACTTCCAACTGTGGTTAAATACAACTCTTATTTTTGCCTATGATGTCAGTATTTGAGAGGGATTTCCATTCAGATACAGAAGCCTTAAAGAAGCGCACCTCAGACAGAACAGGCTACATTTTTTTCATGAAGTAGTCCTATATTTCTTTATCTCTCTTCGTGGAATTTTTGGCTTATAGGTTGAAATTTGTTTTTTGTGGGAAGATGGACATAGGAGACATGTCTCATTTAAATTCCCATGCGGAGTACCTTTGTGTTAATGGGCATTTGGTTAGAAAATGTGTACTTAAGTTCTTGATGATGGCAGCGAACTTCTTAAGGTGATTTGTGTGAAGAGTAGTGTAATTCTAATCAAAAGGGAATCTTACAGTCTTTTGTTATACACTGCTTCTTGATATGCAATGAGGATTAACTTTTTCACAAAGCTGTACCTTTACTACCCTCTGCTGGACGTAAGGGAGAAGTCCATGGGAAAATATTTGTGTTTCAGTAATGAAGGGAAATGGTAAATTTAGAATCTTTTTCTTTTTGTACAATGGCACTCTTATGAAGAATTATATCTAATAGACTATATCATAAAGAAAAGAAGGTGAAGAAAGTCTGTGTGTCTCCCGCCCCCTCTTTTTTTTTAACGTTAGTACAGTTTTGTCCGTCAATTGTTACTCTGAACATGGTCTAAAAGAGGACATGTCTGGTTTCTGGAATAAGAAATTAAGAGAAAGGATAACAGCAAGCTTCTGTGGACTCTTCAGTTGAAAGATAGCTGTTGGTACAGTGTCTAACCTATTAGCTTTCCAGTCTGCACTGATACCAATGTGGTGTACCATTGCATGGATATGGAGTCCTTCTGAAGCAGAACACATACTGTACCAGAAAAATTTAGTTTGGGAACCTTATCTAACCTTATTCTACCTTTTTAGACCAAGATCCAGTAGTCAAACGAATTCTTGATGTATTTGTATTGAACTTACCAAGATACTACAATTTATGATAATCAGTGTATGGGAACGAGTGTCTTTTATTTTAGTCTTTAGCTCCATTGCTCTGGAAGGATGATTTCTTGGGAAATATAGAGCGATTTGTATATAAAACCAGCATTTCTTGTGATGTGTCTAGCTGCCAAAAAGCTGGGTGGGAAAGCTGTTTGACAAACAGTGGAGGAAAGGGGAATGTGGATTTTACCATGAGAAACAGAATTATTAGTTCATAAATTTCAAACTCTTTGTCTTGTTCACAGAAATGTAGTGATTTTCTATTGTTTGGTTTATGTGTTTGAGGCTGCCAACTCTTAGTAAGCTGGAGCTCAAGGTCTCTCAAAGTTTTTAAGCCTTTCTCATGAGGCCTAAAAAATGTCCCATAACTCGGTCCTTTTAATTTCTGAGGCTGAGTATGTTGCCATATTTCTGAGACTTTGAGTTACCATTTAAAGACCATTCCCTTAGCTTTCCCGTTGCCTTTCCTGCTCCCCTGCTTGTAAGTATATTGACCTTTTCATGTCCTGCTAAATCTGTCGTCTTGTATTGGCTTGGTAATGCTGCTGTGATGGGGAGATGACTACAAAGAAGACTTGAGTGATGGTCCGTCTCTATATTTCCAGAAGGTATATGTACATGGCAATAGTTTAAGGCTGTGGGTGTATTAAATTTCTTACTGAACCTACGCGAGTGAAACAGAAAATTTAGGTCCTGGCTAAAACCAAAGCAAACCCCTAAAACCTACAGACCCGCTTTTTGTTTTTCTCCTTGTTGTTATTAATTTCACCATGAACTACAGTGTTAGGTAAGTTATAGTTCCCATAAGAAAGGCTTGAAAACGCTCCATGCAGCACGAGAGAGAGAGGACTCATTCCTCAGCCAGTTAACAATGCTACTCGTTAACCTTTAAACTACTTTTTGTCTCCTATGACTACACACTTCTTGATGGCTTACCTCTACTTAATCCTCTGCTTTCTAGTGTCTCCACAGCGCACAACTGGCATCTAGGAATTCTAGCTACTGTGACTGTCTTGTATATCCTCTAAGTACTGCAGTTTTCATAATGGGATCTCTGTGGTAGCTCCAAAGTTCATATTTCTCCAGTGGCAAGCTCACTGACATAATGGACTTGCTCTCTGAGAGGAGCTTCCTCTATCATCTCCTGTGTCATCATATTATTCAAGTCCAGTTTGAACACTGTTCACTCTTACCTCACTATGAGACTGAAGTTGTTTGAATACTCTTATGTAGCCCTCACC